TATCGATGTTGTCACAAATGGCAGGATTTCTTTTTTTATGGTTGAATAATATTCCATTGTGTATTTGTATCACTTCTTTATCCATACATCTGTTGATGAACACTGAGGTTGCTTTCATATCTTAGCTATTGTAAATAATGCAGCAGTAAACATAGGGATGCATTTATCTTTTCACATCAGGGATTTTGTTTTCTTTGGGTAAATTCCTAGAAGTGGAATTACTGGGTTTTATGGTATTTCTATTTTTAGTTTGTTGAGGAACCTCCACATTGCTTTTCATAGTGGCTGCACCAATTTACATTCCCACCAACAGTGTGGGAGGGTTCCCATTTCTCCTTATCGTCACCAGCCCTTGTTATTTCTTGTCTTTTGGGTAGTGGCCATTCTAACTGGTGTGAGATAATGGATACCTCATTGTGGTTTTGATTTGCATTTTCCTGATGATTAGTGATATGAAGCATCATTTTATGTGCCTGTTGGCTATCTGTATTTCTTCTTTGAGAAAATGGCTGTTCAGATCCTCTGCCCATTTTTAACTGTGTTATTTGTTATTTTGGTTTAAGGCATATGAGTTCTTTATATATTTTGGATGTTAACACCTTACTGGATAAATCACTTACAAATATAGTCTCTCACCCTATATGTTGCCTTTTTGTTTTGTTGATGGTGTCCTTTGCTGTACAGAGGCTTTTCAGTTTGATGTACTCCCATTTGTTCAGTTTTGCTTTTGTTTCCTTTGCCCAGGAAGATGAATCCAGAAAAATTTCCTCATCCTTATGTTCAGGGGATCTTTGCCTATGTTTTCTTCTAAGAGTTTTATGGTTTCATGTCTTATATTTAGGTATTTAATCCATTTCAAGTTTACTTTTCTATATGGGGTTAGACAGTAATCTAGTTTCATTCTCTTGCATGCAGCTGTCCAGTTTTCCCAGCACGTTATTGAAAAGATGGTCTTTTCTCCATTGTATGTTAATGACTCCTTTACTATATATTAATTGACCATATACATGTGGGTTCATTTCTGGGCTCTCTCTTCTGTTCCATTGATCTGTGGGTCTGTTCTTGTGCCAGTTCAATACTGTTTTAATTACTGTAGCTTTGTATTATAGCTTGAAGTCAGGGAGCATAATACCCTTGACTTTTTTCTTCTTTCATGAGGTTGCTTGGCTATTTAGTATCTTTTTTGGTTCCATATAAATTTTAAGATTATCTGCTCTAGTTCAATGCCATTAGTATTTTTGTGGGGATTGCATTAACTAGTTTTGGACAGGATGGCCATTTTGACAATATCAATTCTTCCTATCCATGAGTCTGAGATGGATTTCTATTTATTTTTGTCTTATTTAATTTCTCTCTCTAATAAGTATCTTATAGTTTTCAGAGTACAGGTCTTTCACCTACTTGGTTAGGTTTATTCTTCTGTATTTTATTCTTTCTTGACATAATTTTAAATGGAATTATTTCCCTGATTTCTCTTTCTGCTAATTATTGTTAGTATCTATGCAACAGATTTCTGTATATTGATTTTGCATCCTGTAACTTTATTGAATCCATTTATTAGTTTTAATAGATTTTTTGTTGGAGGCTTTAGAATTTTCTATATGTAGGATCATGCCATATGCAAATAGTGACAGTTTTACTTCTTCCTTACCAACTTGGGTGCCTTTTATCTCTTTATCTTGTCTGATTGTCATGGCTAGGACTTCTAGTACTATGTTGAATAAAAACGATGAGAGTGGGTATCCTTGTCTTGTTCTTGATCTTAGAGGGAAAGCTGTCAACTTTCCACCATGAGTCTGAAGAACAGATTTTTTTAGCATGAAGAAATTGTGCTTTTATTAGTGCCTCACAGACCAAGAACAAATTATTAAGTCCTTGGAAGCTTGAATTGTTAGCTTTAAAAAGGAAAAAAAGTATTATTTGTTAATATGTTTGTTTTTTCAATGTTAGCACTAAAAACCAAATGTCTTTTACCAGTTAGTTCAAAATCATGGTAGACCGTGTCTTGTTTATAAACTCTTGATTGCTCTTAGCTACATTTCCTGCTGCTTTGAACTACAAAACTGTATGTCCTTAAGATTCTGTGTGTAGAGTCTTCTCCTTCTCAATGTGACAAGTTAGGTAATAACTGAGCCATCTTCTCACTGAGGAATTGGGGGCAGCAGGATGTCTGGCGAAATGTTTACTAGAAGCATCTACTTGAACCCATTGGAGAGAGCTATAAATTGTAAAGTTTTTTTGGTGAAGATCAAAGCCAGGATGGAAATCCATAGAAGTGGGTTACTTTTTCCCTAGGGACCTTTGCAAATTCTCAAAGAATTAACAAGAAGACTAGAAGTTTTTTTGATCCCTTCATAGTTAGGAGCCACAGTTTAGAGTAGTATGCTCACAGTGATAATGAACCTGGTATATCCCTTTATCTTTGAATTGGAACAAAAGAGGACTCCATCTAGAAGTAAAGGTGAACTAGAAGCAAATCAGGACTCATACAGGCTTTAGCTTATCTGCTAGTCATTTAGGTGACCCAGAAAATTACTGCTTAAATTGGATTAAGGTTTTCTAGATGTCAGTTTTTCTCAGGTGCCTAACAAGAGGAAAACATCCTAGACATCAAATTATATCTACACATGACTTATGAAATACAACATCAAGCATCAAATCAAAGATAACCAAAGAGACAAAAAAAATATGAGAACCAATAGAATAAAATAATGTTGAAAGAGGGCTATAAGGGGCCCCTGATATTTGAACTATCAAATATAGACTTAAAAAGAATGCTTACTATTGTTAAAAAGAAAACTGCTGGAGAGGGAGCTACTTGTACTGGGCCAAGCCACCAAACTGGGACTTATTGCCTAGCCGAATTGCAATTTCAACATGTGCCATGTAGTCTTACTAGTCAAAAAATTCTCTGTTAAACACCAGCAAGGTAATTTGTGCCTGAGCCCTCTTCATCTTCCAAAACAAAAGTAAGGTAATCTGCATGATTAGACTCCCTGCTGTCCCCCCCAAGAAAAAGTGACCTTGCCTGAAATAGCCCTTTCTTTTCTTTTGCTAATAACTTCTTGCCTTTTCCTCCTTCCTATGAAAACCTTCCATTTTGCAATTTCTCCAAACATCCAATTCATGAATCACTTAATAAAAACAATTAGATCTTCAGATTTACTTGGTTGAATTTTGTTTTTAACAATGTATTTAAAAACATAGTTGAAGTATTCTTAAAACATACTTTTATACTTAACATACAAGATTAACAATCTTGACATAATTTTAAATGATAAAAAATTAGAAGATTTAAACAAATACGAATTCTGTTAACTATTAATAAGAACTATAAATTGTAAGAGGATAAAGAAGCTTACAGATAGGTTTTAGATAGGCTTAACAGCAGAGTAGATGTTAATAAAAGAGAAGTAGAGATTTCTAAAAGTGATCACAAGACCACAAACAATAGATTATTATTGAGAGACAAAAAGATCGAGAACTTAGAATATAAGAAACAGAAGACACAGCAATTAGACTTACTATACTTGGAGTCAGAGTTTCAAATGATGAAAACTGAGAAAATTCTAAAACATATTAAAAATAATTAGTTCATAGATTTAAAGGACATACAAACCTTAAGCAAGATCCTAAACAGAAACCCATATTTGGATAATTCATAGGAAAGTTGCTGAAAACCAAAGACAAAGAGAAAATCTTAGTCATTCAGAAGGGAAAAAAAAGAGGGAAAGAGATTACTTATTTGGAATAAGTTGAGACAGTTATAGATGACTCCCAAACAGAATAAATGGGAATAAGAGTGAACTATTTTTAATCTGATGAAGAAAAATAACAACTAATGTAAGATTTTTAAGGCCACTCAAGATTTACATGTACAATAAAGATGAAATAAAAGTACTTTTTAGACAAATTTGGAATATAGAGATAATAAACTGAATATTTGACTCCCCTTATGAACCAAGATTTCAAAAGGTATAACTATTAATAGTATTAAAAAAATTAGACTGTTCTGAGTAAACCATAAGGCTATAGTGAATTTATAACCAGTAAATATTTATCTTATGTGGATCCAGTTATGGATATTTTATTTATAATATATAAATAATACATACACACTATGCATTAGAGTATGATAGAGAAACATAATTTAGAGTAAGACAGGAAATCTGCTACGTAAAACATATGCTTTGTTGGACCCCTAACCTGCATAACTCACAAAGAACTGACTTGCCATGGAATAAAGGTGTAAAAATAAGACCTGAAACCATGAGACTCCTAGAAGAAAACTGGGAAAAATCTCCTTGACCTTGACTGTGGCAGAGATTTTTTCGATATGACACAAAAACAAACAACAAAAGCCAAAAATCATTAGGTGGGACTACATCAAGATAAAAAGTTTCTGCACAGCAAAAGAGACAACAAAACTAAATGGCAACCTAAAGAGTAGGAGAAAATATTTACAAACCACTTATCTAATGAGGTGTTAGCATCCAAAAGACATAAGGATCTCATACAACTTATCAGTAAATAAAACAAATAATCCAATAAAAAGTGGGGAAAGAAACCTGAATGCACTTTTTCCCAAAGACATACTAATAGACAACAGGTACGTGAAAAAGTGCTCAACATCACTCAACATCAAGGACATGCACATCAAAACCACAGTGAGATAACATCTCACACCATTCAGAATGGCTAGTATCAAAAAGATGGATAAAAGTGCTGGCCAGGTTGTGGAGAAAAGGAAACCCTTTGCACTATTGGTGGGAATGTGAATTGCCACAGTCACAATGGAAAACAGTACAGAGATTACTCAATACATAAAAAATAGAATTACCATATGATCCAGCAATCCCACTTATGAGTATCTCTGCAAAGGAAATGAAATTGCTATCTCAAAGAGCTGTCTGTACCCCAGTGTTCATTGCCATATATTCACAATAGCCAAGACAACTAAGGGTCCATCAATGGATAAATGAGTTGAGAAAATGTAATGCATGTACATAGATACACTCACACATCCCCACAAACAATATAATATTAGCCAGCCTTTAAAAAACAAAGTCCTCCCGAGGCTGGCTGTCTCTGGGAGGGCGGAGGGAGACTCTCTAGGCGGGGGCTGGGCCGGGAAGGCGGCAGCGGCGGGCGGAGCCGGGGCTGGGGTGTCCCAGGAGAAGCAGTTCCCACCGGCGTTGCTAAGCTTCTTCATCTACAACCCGCGCTTCGGGCCCGCGCGAAGGAGAGGAGGAAAATAAAATTTTGTTTTATTATCCAAATGAAATAGAAAAGAATGAAAAAATTAGAAATGTCGGATTATGTGAAGCTATTGTGCAATTTACAAGGACCTTTAGTCCATCAAAACCTGCAAAATCTTTACTTACACAGAAGAATAGACAGTTCTTCAATGAACCAGAAGAGAATTTCTGGATGGTCATGGTTCTTCGGAATCCTATAATTGAAAGGCAAAGTAAAGATGGAAAACCAGTTGTTGAGTACCAAGAGGAGGAATTGCTGGACAAGGTTTACAGTTCAGTGCTGCAACAGTGCTACAGCATGTACAAGCTATTTAATGGTACGTTTGTGAAAGCCATGGAAGATGGAGGTGTCAAGCTCCTAAAAGAAAGATTAGAAAAATTCTTCTATCGGTATTTGCAAATGTTGCATTTTCAGTCTTGTGATCTGCTTGACATTTTTGGGGGAATCAGCTTCTTCCCATTGGATAAAATGACTTATTTGAAAATCCAGTTGTTTATTAGCAGAATGGAGGAAAGCCTGAGTATAGTCAAATACACTGCCTTTCTCTATAACGATCAACCCATCTGGAGCGGATTAGAGCAGGAGGACATGAGAATGTTACACAAATACCTCACCATGTCTTTATTCCCGAGGCACATGGAACCTGAGTTGGCAGGAAGGGATTCTCCGATAAGGTCAGAAATGCCAGGAAATCTACAGCATTATGGAAGATTTCTTACTGGACCCTTGAACCTTAATGACCCAGAAGCAAAATGCAGATTCCCTCAAATTTTTGTGAACACAGATGAAACTTATGAGGCACTCCACTTAATTGTTTATAAGGCCATGAGCACTGCTGTGTGTTTTATGATTGAAGCCTCTGTACAGCCTACGTTGGATTTTTGCCAAAGACTGGATAGCATTGTTGGGCCCCAGCTCACAGTGCTGGCATCTGACATTTGTGAGCAATTTAACATCAACAAAAGAATATCTGGATATAAAGTATTACAGTAGTAACCGAGGTCAGATTTCCGGCACCCTCAGCCCTCCAGAACGTGGCTGCTAACCCTGAAGTCTGAGAAGGAACCCCAGTTTAAGTTTATCTACTTCAACCATATGAACTTAGCAGAGAAAAGTACGATTCACATGAGGAAAACACCCAGTGTGCCACTTACATCTGTTCATCCAGATTTAATGAAGATTTGGGTGACATCAACAGTGATTTTGCTAGGGTAGATGAAGATGAAGAAATCATTGTGAAAGCAATGAGTGATTACTGGGTTGTCAGGAAAAAGTCTGACCAGCAGGAACTTTATGTTATTCTGAATCAAAAAAATGCAAATCTGATTGAAGTAAATGAAGAGGTAAAGAAACTTTGAGCAATGCAGTTCAATAACATATTCTTCTTGGATTGATAATTGCTCGCCAAAACGTCGTTTAGAAAACAAAAAACAACTCAGCAAGCATTTTGTTTACCACTGCAGGTTATTGGTCATATTAGTGACGATTAATGACAATAGTAAAGCAATACTTGCTCTGAAGAATCAAATTTCTACTCAGTCCGATGATCCCGAGGTTTTTAGATTTTACATATTTATCTGGAAGCAATTAAGGTAGTCGGTTACATCTCTGTCATTGCATTCTTTTGACAGTATGTGAATATTTTACTGGAAAATAAGACTAATAAATTGTTAAAGTTTTTGAAAAAAAAACAAAACGAAGTCCTCCCATTTGAGACAACATGGATGGACATTGAAAGCAGTATGCTAAGTGAAATAAACCAGGTACAGTAAAACAAATACCATGTGATCTCATTTATATGTGGAATCTAAGTCACGAAGCACAGGAGATTGACAGTTGCCAAAGGTTGGCTGTTGGAGGTGGGGGTTATATGAGGAGATGATGGTTAAAGGGTATAACTTAGAAGAAATGTGTGAAAACCATATTAACTACTAGGTTATAAGGTGTGCTTAGTCTTGTAATCTTCATGCATATGTCTGAAATTTGTAAGTTAATTTGTATGTTGTCTGAGATAATAATGATTATATTACACATTTTAAAATTCTAAATGCTAATTAGTATTTACTGACTGTTCAGAATAGTAGTATATTTTCACTGTAGGAGAAATTCAGAAGCAAATAGAGTAATTTAAAAATGCTGATTATCACACCAATCAGAGATAAATTTAGTATATTTTTTCTACCAATATATACAAATTCACAAATAAGTGTATTTATGAAAGTGAGATTAAACTGTAATTTTAGATGTAGGGCTGTCAGTAGGAGTAAATGAGAGCAAGTAACAGCGTGCCTTGTACACCACAAGTGCACAATAACACAGCTGTATAAGGTAGTGTATACAGTTCTTAAACATACTTTCATACTAGACTGCATGTAATGAACATTTGTTGTGAATATTCATTTAGCACCATTTTATAAAAAGGATTGGACTATATTCAGTTGTACAGATAAATCTAATTAATTTTCCCTATTACTAGAAATAAATTATTTCTATTTTTTTATTATAATAAACTATGAGGAAGATAACCTTATTTATTAATATTCCTAAAGAAAATATATTCAGTGATACCTTCTTCAGTTAATTTTTAGCCTGATTACATGAATCTCTGATATGCTGCAGTATAATTCAAACTTTTACCATTTCCATACAAAACAAGTACCTCACACAAATCTGTTAGGTATGTTCTTTCTATCCTTTGTGCTATGGTAGTCATATATTTTATGTCTTAAAAATATTGTTATGTCATATGCCACTTGTAAATTTGTTACTGCTTAGCTGCAATCTACCCTGCACCGCCTTGCTTGGTAATACTGGAGCTGGGCCCTGAAAACATTGCTTCTCCAGCTGGCTCAAGGAGAGGCTTTGCAGGAGGGGGACTGACAGGTCACTGTAGCAGAGAGCCAGGGACGAGGCATGTCTTTCACATTCTACTGTGCTTTGCTTTTTGCTCATATGGCAGTGCTTCCAGAAGCATGTGGGATGATGCACAATGGCTCTCAAACTACAAAGTATCACCAGAAATATGCAGCTTTCTGCTCACCAATCCTAGCACACTACGTAAGGACCACCTTTGTCCCATGGCATCCAGTGAACTTCATCATCCAGTAAGCCTCTGCTACTGACTTCAACAAGTTCTGAATCTCAGCCTGGTGGTGACTGTAGCAAGCAGGGGTCTTCCAAGTTTATTTTTTGCTTGGATAGTCTTCCTTAGCCTCCAAAGTAGAAGTTTCTCCTGTTTGCTATTCCTATACTGTTTAAAGTTCTTTTAACCCCCTTGAGTAGTTAACCATCTTTTATTAATGAACAGTTTTTTTGTATTAATATAAATTAACTTATATTCAAGTTGTTCTTGTTCAAATTATTATTTTGTTTCCTGACAAAACTTGATCCATATTGTAATATTAAAGTTAATAACTGATTTCTATTTACTTAACATTTGTTAACATAAATATATAAACATATATTTAACATTTCAGATTTTATTCCAAGCTTGAGCTTCCACCAGAGGACATGTTTTCTCATCGTAATGAAATATATTTGGTGTTTTGTGGAGTGTAAATGCAACAGATACAAAGTTTTTTGTTTGTTTGCTTTGGTTTGAAAACTTATTTATTTTGCCATTATCTTAAAAGCATATTCCTATTGGATATATATTTTGAGATTAATATATTTTTTCCCCTTTCAGTACTTTAAGCATTTCAGTCTATTGTCTTCCAGCTGCCAAAATATGGTTAATATTCAGCCATCAGTATATGGTTTAAGCAAAAGTAATATGACATTTTACTTCTGGGTGCTTATAGAATTTTGATCTTATTTGATTCTTAGTAATTTGACCATATTAGTTTTCTTTGTATATATCCTATGGGATTCACTAAGATTCTTGGATCTGTGGCTTGAGTCATTGGATCCTTCAATTTTTTTTTTCTCCTGTTTCATTCTTCTCTTGTTCTAAGTATCTAAAGTTTATCTCATCTTTTGGTTGAGTCCCACCTATTCTTTTCATCTGTTTTTTTTCCATTTAGTTTTGTCTCTGTACTTCAGGTTAGGTATTTTCTGTTGACATCTCTTTCAGTTCACTAATCCTCTTTTTTTGTTGTTGTTGTGTGCAGTCTGTTGTTAAACCTATCCCAAGAGATCACCACCAAAAAAGAAAGTTCTTAGTTTTTTTTTTTATTATGAAGTCAGAATCTACATATGGTTTTCAATTCAGTGACTGTTGACAAATGTGTGCTCCTTGGTACAGCAACAAATAAGATATAACTAATTTTAATCATTTCAGAAATTTCCTTCACATCTACTTTCAGTGAGTTTGCACATCTTGTATGTAAGAAATTTTTCTCTTTTCTGTAACTATAGGTTGATTATCCCTGTTTTTGAACTTCATATAAATATAACCTCACAATCTGTGTTCTTCGTGTCTACCTGCTTTCTTTCAACATGTCTCTCATATTTATTCATGTAGTTACAGATAGTAGTACTTACTACTACTGTTACTACAGGGTAATATTCTACTGGATGAATATATCACAATTTGATTACTTGCTATCTGAGAGATGGACATTTGTGTTGTTTCTGGTTTGTGGTTAGTATGAATAAAAGAGATACTCAAATACTCTTAAATAAGTTTTTCTCTTTTTTGTATATATCAGCTTTCATTTATCTTGAGAAAATACTTAGGAATGGAATAACTGGATCATATGGTAAGTTCATGTTTAAGTTTGTAGGAAACATACAGTTTTCCAAAGTGGTTGAACCAATTTATATTCCCACAACAGTTATTCAGAGTTCCAGGGGCTCTACATTTGACTAACATTTGGTGTTGTCTGTCATTTAATGTTTTTAACTCTTCTAGGGACAGCATAGTGGTATCTCATTGCCATATTAATTTACATTTCCCTGATGCCTAAAATGTTGGGCACTTTTCTTGTGCTTATAGCCAATCATTTGTCTTCCTTTTTGAAGTTCCTCAAGTATTTTTTATTAGGTTATCATTTTTTGTTACTTATCATGAGGAGTTGTTTACACGGCCTAAATCTAACTTCTTTTTCAAATATATACATGTTACAAATGTTTCCTCCCAATATTGACTTGCCTTTTTATTTTCTTAATGGTGTCATGGGAAGAACATTTTAATTTTGATAATGTTCATTTTATCCATAATTTTTTCTTCGGTGGAAACTATACTCATGTTTTCCCCCAAAACTTTATAGTTTTGTTTATGTATTTGTGTCTATGATTTATATAAAATAAAGGTTTTTGGTATGGTATGAGGTAGATGGGTCAAAGTTTTTGTTTTGTTTTTATTTTCCCGTACATCTATTTAGCTGTTCTGGGATCATATTTTTAAAGATTTCTTTTCTTTCTTTAATGCCTTTCCCTTTGATGAGATCAGTAGACATTCTGGACTCTATTATGATTAACTTAGGGCAAATTGACATCTTAACAATATTGAGTCTTCCATTTCATGAATATATATCTACGTTTGGCTTAGGTGTTACTTATCTAGAAAAATTCCTAGACCAGTGTTTCTGACCCCTTGCTGTCTTAAGTGATCTTCATTTCTGCCCTCATGTGTGGAAATCATATATTTATACAACCTATTGATTTATGCAAATAAATTATACTTAATCAAGGGCCATATGTTACTTATTTCTCTATCTTCTGTTCTTAGGAGAAAGAAGCTGGCCCAAAGAAGGCATTATTTATCTAATTCTTAGGATTAAGTTGTTTTGTGATGCTTTTAAAGTATGCAGGTAGACAAACTTAGTTTCTATAATCTTGACACAAATAAAAATAGAGTTTATTCTTTACAAATGATAACAGTCATCACTAATGATAGTTTAGGAGAAAATTTAGAAAATGTATGCCTATTTTGAACCTAAGATGAGTCTTAATCTTCAGTCTGAAAACATAAAGTTAAGTACTATATACCTTACAAATGTGATTGGTATGATTACAAACTTCATTTAAACAATGTTCTTTCACATTTATAAACATACTGAATTGCAATAATATATATACATATATAAATTCACTTCTATTTTTTATTGGTTTCCTTGTATCTTTTAAATCATTAATAACTGTTATTATGGAGGCATATGTATGTACCTGTAAATATATATCATTAATTCATAAATGCTTCCTATCATCTCTCTCTTTTTACTCTTCTTCTAGTTTTAGTATATGCAACTTGACCCTTTTACTTCTAGCCCTATTCTTTGATTCCTTTTTCCCTTTCTAATCCTTCTGAATGAACTTCACTTTATTTTCCATTTCACTGGCTAGTTCTTCAGTTCTGTTTGAACCATGTATCAAGTTCTTCATTTTAACTGTGATATTTTCACACCCAGAATCCCTAGTTGTTAATGATTGTTACATTTTATTATTTTTTTAT